CATGTTGACCAGGATGGTCTCGATCTCTTGACCTCGTGATCCACCCGCCTCGGCCTCCCAAAGTGCTGGGATTACAGGCTTGAGCCACCGCGCCCGGCCCAAACAGATATATTTCTAGTCTGTTTTTCAGTGGTTTCTCCATCTTCATTTGAAAATGTGAAAGAAAAGTGGGTGCCTGAGATAACTCACCACTGTCCAAAGACTCCTTTCTTGCTTGTTGGGACCCAAACTGATCTCAGAGATGACCCCTCTACTATTGAGAAACTTGCCAAGAACAAACAGAAGCCTATCACTCCAAGGACTGCTGAAATGCTGGCCCATGACCTGAAGGCTGTCAAGTATATGGAGTATTCTGCACTCACACAGAAAGGCCTAAATAATGTATTTGACGAAGCAATATTGGCTGCCCTGGAGCCTCCAGAACTGACGAAGAGCCGCAGGTGTGTGCTGCTATGAACATCTCTTCAGAGCCCTTTCTGCACAGCTGGCGTCGGCATCACGTTAAAAGCAATGTTTAAATCAAACTAAAGATAAAAAATTAAAATTGGTTTTTGAAAAAAAAAATCCCAGACAATTCTTAAATTGTAATCTTCTCAATTCTTGCTTTAAAAGTAGGCATAAGACTGAACAGAAAGCCGTGGGATAAATGATGCCATTTTTAATGTTTTTTGATGCCATTTTTATCCTAATCTCCTCCAACACATGCCACTCATGTAGATGTATCAAGTTCAGAAATAGATATTATACCTTTTGTTTCTGAAATACAATAAAATATACAGAAGTCATTTGGGGTATAATTTAAAAGATATGTATATATATTACATATATATATATATATATATATATATATGTATACACAACTGATCTTCATATACACAACTGATCCTGATTGCAGGTTCACATCTGCAAGTTCATCTACTGGCTAAAATTTATGTAGAACCCCCAAATCAATACTTGCAGCATTTTCATGCTTGTTTGTGGACATGTGAAGACTGGCGAAAATTCTGAGTGGCCCAATGTGCACATTCCTAGCTAAGGTCAAACAAGGCAACATTCTGCCCTCTTGTTTCAGCTCCCTCTCATACTGTAAACAAGTGTCCCTTTCATGGTCTATTTAGTGCCTGTTTTTAACATTTTTATGCTTTCTATTGGTGATTTTGCTGTTTAAAATGGACTCCAGGCATAATGCCGAAGTGCTGGCTGGTATTAAGTAGACAATACCATGTGCCTTATAAAGAAAATACATGTGCTGGTTAAGTTTCATTCTGGTTTAAGTGATACAAGTTGAGTATCACTTATCTGAAATGCTTGAGACCAGAAGTGTTTTGGGTTAGGGATTATTCTGGATTTTGGAACATTTGCGTTATACTTATCAGTTGAGCATCCCGAATCTGAAAATGAGAAATCTGAAATGCTCCAATGAGCATTTCCTCTAAGTGTCATGTTGGTGTTTAGATTTTGCAGCATTTTGGATTTGGGATTTTCAGATTAGGGATATTCTATCTGTGGTGCTATTGGCTGTGAGTTTAATGCTAATGAATTAACAATATATATTAAATAAGGTGTGTTTAACAGAA